AATATGAAATTATGATAGATAACACATATTTCTCATACAAATGATGTACAAAAATAGTATGAATCATGTAAAAGGAATATAGAGTAAGTCAGATGAGATTGACCTGGCATGTCTTTTATGAAATTGTTAAAAATCTGTGTTTTCATTCACTGTAAAAATGATCAGGCTGTGTGGGGGAAGAAAGGTGAACTTCATGGACTGTCAGAGGGTAAGTAAGCGAGGTTTAGGATGCAAAACCTGTTCAGATAATTGAAACCTAGTGCTTCGTAAGAAGGCTGTTTTAGAGTCAAGGAGATGCTTTGGGAATATTGGATTCTTTTCCTCATGTTACTGAAATGCAGTCCATGTAAACATTGGGCTAGAATGTTGGAAAACCAACATCAGTACTGCTTACCCATTCATAAAACAGTAACTTGAGCACCTACCACATTCTGAGTTCCATGCTATGGAAAGGTGATGGATGCTGGGCTAGATTGGGTTTAGCCAATCACAGTAGGCATCTGTCCTCAGGGCACTAAGAAAACAGAGAAGGGATATGGACAATAAATGAGTCAACACATACTGTGATTAAAGAAGAACTGCTGATTGTGATAATCTCTAAAAGGAGAGAGAGTGAGAGAGGAGAAAGGAAGAGAAGGAGAAAGGAAGAGGGAGGGAAGGAGTAAGTTAGAGAGAGGCAGTGTCCTAGTTACTCTTCTCTTTTTGCTGGGACAAATACTCGACACTCAAAATAATGGAAGGAAAGGTTTATTTAGCTCACAGTTGCTGGAGGGTTCAGTCCACACTCAGCTGGCTCCAAGGCAGAGCAGCACATGGCAGAGGACAACCTTTCATGGCGGTGGCAAAGAGCAAGAGCACAAGGGAGGGGTAGCAGCAGCTCAAGCAGCTAGCTTCTCTTCCCACTTTACATTGTAATGCAAATTACCTGCCCCAGGGCAGGTGCAGCATCCACACCCACAGTAACCAATCACAAAGTCCAGAAGCCACCCCAAGACTGCATGAGGCTTTGGGGGGACACCTAGACACAAACCATAAACAGGAAGTGAGAGAGAAGGAGGGAGAGAGAAGAAAAGAGAGAGGGAGGGAGGAAGGGAGAGAGAGAAGAGGGAATCTACTTTACTTACAGGATGGTCAAAGAAAGAGACATCTGATCTAAGCCCAGGTGAGAGACGGAGGTGAGGGAAGACCAACCCAGCTTCTAAAACTGTGAACACTGAGTCAGCAAGGGTCTTGGTTTGGTGGAGGAAAGATGGGGAGGATGCGGCTACAGCCCTTCTTGTTCTATGGAACCTAGGAACAACTTTATTAAAATGAAAAAGGTATCATTGAAAAATTTTAAACAAAGAATTAATTGTAATTGTTGAGCTGGAGAGACAACTCTTGGGTCGAGGAGATAGCTCAATAGAATAAGGGCTTTCCTGGCAAGCACAAGGTCCTGAGTTCAATCTTTCGTACTGTAAAAAAAAAAAAAAAAAAAAAAAAGTAATTAGTTGTAACTGGACTTACATTTAGAAAAAGAAACAAGGGATGACTGTATTGGTTTTCTGTTGCTGTAACTAAGTGTCACAGACTAAATGTTTATGAAGAATAAAGGTTTGCTAAGTTCATGGTTCTAAAGAATGGGAAATTCATGAGCAGGCGCCATGTCTGGTGACGTCCTTCTGGATGGTGGGGCTCTCTGCACAGTTCTGAGGCAGACAGAATGTCACATGGTGAGAAGGTGTGACCATCCTAATTCACATTCCTCTTCCTCTTCTTACAAAAGCACAGCCCCTTGGATTATGGTCCCACTCTTGTGGCCTTATGTAGCCAAAAGTCTCATGTCCAAGTGTCAGGGACTTACGTTTCTACCCTCATCATACATCACAGTCGGTAGGAGTTTTGGAGGGGACATTCAGACCACAGCAAGAGGATCCCAGAGGATGTTGACATTCCTTTCTAAATCTGAGGTTCTGACTGTATCACAACAGGGTCTTAGCTCCATCTTGTTGCACAAACAAAACAGTCACACCCCACGCATTTTAGTATTTGTTTTGCTTGGCATGAAGATCCCACCCAGAAAAAGGACACCAACTTGCAAATTTAAACAATGGTGTTGAGGGGAGGTTTTTTAGAATTTGAGCAACTAAACCTAGAATTTAGAATTAGCCTTTTCACCACAGGATCAGTGTCTTATTCTGAACGGGACTCCTGGGCTGGTCCTCCCTTGGAGCCTGATAACCCTTCCCAACCATGCCCCACTCCTAGCAATTCTATTACCACCAGTGTCTGGACTCTTTCACTTTCTCTCGATCCCAACTACTTTATTTTTTGTTTCTTTTTAAAGTTTTTAATTTTTCTAAAGAGAGTAAAAAATAGAATTAAAACAGAAAATATTACAAGTGATACAGAATTTCACTTAACAAAGTAATGTGAATTTCACAGTATTTGTTGTAATGCATAGTGTTGTCTTCCAACCAGTTACTCATAGTACCAGATATACGCATGTAAAATTGGAAGAAAGAAAAAGAGAAATGTATAAGAAATTTAGAAGAGAAAAAGTACAACTGAAAAGAAGAGATGAAGCAAATTAAAATGTTAACTGCTTCTTTCCATAGACCAGCAGAAATGCACAGTACAGTTGTCCAAACCATCCTGTTTACATTCATAGGTAAATCTCTTTCCCACATTCCCTCTCTCGTCCTTCTCCTCAACTCAGCAACTATTTCTTTTTGAATACATTCATTCCCTTTTACCAGTGTCTGTTGTACCCTTCAGATTCCTTTTCTCTCTTCCAGGTCCTCACACTAAGGAGACAATACAATGTTTGCACATGTAGGTCTGATTTATTTCGCTTAAGAGTATGTTCTCTACTGCATCCATTTACCAACAAAAGACTCAAATTTATCCTGTTTTATAGTTAAATAATGCTCCATTGTGGAAAAATACCACGTCTTCCCATTCAAGTCAGCTATTCTCCTCCTTTTTCCAGAAGAGCTGAAAACTTCATACCACAGTGATGTATGTACGCCTACGTTTATATTAGCACAATTTGTCATAACTAAATCCTAGAAACAACCCAGACGCCCATCAACTGAAGAATGGATCCCAACTGTCTTGTCCATGATGTCCCATCTCCTTTCTGACAGCATTTTCTCCTTATTGTTGTGAATGAATCTCACTCACTATTGTCTCCCTACATTCACCACAGTGTTTGGCATCTCCAACTGTTAAGTCCTGGAGCCATGCTGGGCAAAGGGTGAATACCTGACCTTGGAAACATCCTACAGGGACATTAAACAGTGTCTTTCTCTATGCATTTGAGCCTATCATTCTCCTTCTACTACCTCCCCAGGAACCAAAGTGGCCCTGTGCCACTTAAATTCTCCAAGCTATTTTATTTTATTTATATTTATTTATTTTTCATCTTGGTCTTTTTTTATTATTCATTTTAATTAGAAAAAAGATAAAATAGCAATGAAACAGCTTCAAAACAGGTTAGTAGGACAGTTACAATAATTAATACATTGCATACTGTTGTCTTCATAGTAGTTATTCAGAGGACAAGATGCAGACATGATATCTTGTCTAAACAATATTAGTACAAACCTTTCTTCTCAATTAACTAAGAGAAAGTAGCTGTATATCTATCTTATTTTGTGTATATATATATGTATTTTTTCCCCACAACAAAACAATCCTTTATTTATACTTTTGCAAAATTAGTAACATGTGACACAAGATTGCCTAGCGACTAATAGCTGACCTTATCCAGACAGGGTGTTTATCTCAGGACTGAGGTAACTTGTTTGCTTTAGGCACTGAGGCCTAGTACCACCTACACACATTTGATCTCTTTCCTAGCTTCTGTGGCTCCCAACATATCCCCTTTTACTGTTTTGATTTGTCAGAGATGGGTGTTCAATTGCTGTTAGAGATGCTGTATTTGGAGAAGTCTTTAAAGGACTTTTTCATACATGATGCCAGTCTTAACTTTCTATAGGGATTTAAATTTTAGAATATCCATAGTTTTTGGAAAATAGAAGTTCCATTTTATGTCTAAGGTATTCGATACTCAGACAGATAGTGATGTTAAGCTCCAAGCTATTTTAATCAGGCCTGGAATGGAGTCTTTTCTTTCTCTCTAAGCAGTCAAGTCACAAGCTTGAGCACAATTCAGGCTCCCTAAACTGGCTTAATCTTAGTTGTGATGCTCAAAACTCGGAAGGCTTCAGGTGCTCGGCATTATTTCTAGGACAGTAAGTTACTTCACTGCACAGCACTGCTTGAGAACAGCTGCACTGAGAAATTTGCAAGTATCGATTGACTCCTTCAATCTTCACTATAACTCTGTATTATACAGTTCTTAGTCCTGTTTTACAGATGAGGAATTTGAGATTTACAAATAATAAATTCACTCAGTCACAAAACTAAGAAATAGGACATGTGAACTCTTCAAGACCCTTTGGAATGGAAAAAACATATAATATTTTTATTTTAATAGAAATATAAAACATAGTGTGAAATTAATCTGTAGCAGTATATCAAGACACAAGTAGAAAGAAATGGATCATATAATGAATTATGTATCAAAAAATGGGCAGGATTATGGAATGCTCTATCCCATGATCAGACAGAGTTTAATGTCTCCATCATATATTTTTTCACTCTAATTCCAAAAGAATGTCTATAATTACTCACAAATCCAAGAGTTAGAGTTGAATATAGATTCTTAAGGATTTGACACCTAGAATAACTTTAAAATAGATTGCAACCATTGACAACTAAGAAATCATTCTCATTTTACTTTATTTTCCTCAGTGATGTAACAAATATTAATATTTCAGGTCTGAAATAACAATTAGTGCCTGGAAATTTTATTTTGTGACTCAGACTTTTGGAGATGTTGATACTAGAAACATTTCAATTTACTGTGTATCTGTAAACATCACAGCTTATTTAATTGAAAAGGACCACTATTGTTATAATTAAAATAGAGGGGAAAAAAGCCCATATATTACCTGTGTGGCGTTCTTCAATCCAGACTTGTAAGTACATGAAGAGGAGCAGCCCTGCCACTCCAAATATCAGCAGAGACAGGAAGACTTGTTTGGGGTTCATGACCATTTCAGATGGCTTCATTGCTCCTCATTACCGAATCTGAAGACCACATGATTTGTTTTTCCTTAAAGCTTCAAGTCCTTCGTATTCTCTAGAACCCATTCCATAAAGGAACCTAGAATTTAAAACAATCTACGTCACATATATGTGATGCCATGTGTATACAATTATGACAAAACCCAAACCAAGCAAAATCTTCCAGCACATCAGCAGCACTGAAGACTCACATGCACTGAATGCTCTGGAGCCCGGGAGGGACAGCAGCAGGCGTCTGCAGAATGCCAATCTGCTTTTGCAAACTTTTGTGTTGTGTAAGGAATGTACTATGCTACAGTTTATGAGTGACACCCTATGATTTAATTAGGTAAAGTCTGGCCAGACTTCAGCTTGCTTTATTATAAAGTTAACATTTGGGCTATTTTAGCATGACTGTAAGACAGAAGAAAAGTGGATTGTAAAATAATGGAGTTTGAAAAACACACTCACAGAATGTAGGAAAATGCTCAAAAATATTATTCTTTCTCAATATCCAGGGGTGGCTGCTTCCAGGACCACAGCAGATATTAAAATCTGCAGACACTTAATCTTTTATATAAAATGGCCCAGTAATTGCAGAGGATCTATGTACTTCTTTTGTGATACTTCAAATCAACTATAAATTTCTTTTTTAACCACACTTACTATATCATATCTAATACAATGCAAATACTATAGAAATAGTTGTTATATTGTATTATTTTAGTAATAATCACAAAAAGAAAAAAAACTGTATTTTTACACAGATGTGATTCTTTTCCTCAAATATTTCAGTCCCAACTTGTCTGAATGCAGAGTTATGGAGCACTGACTATACATCAAGCTCAAAAGTGGAGAACTTCATTTGGCACTTCCCCTTCACGTAAAACTAAAAGACTTCTCCAATTTAAATGGTAAGTTTAAAATCTTTCAAAAGAGTAACAGATAGATATTAAATAGTTCTAACAGAATTATTGGAATCTGATAGAAATTTACTTCATTAATAAAAATGAAATGACTTTATTTAAAAAATGCTAAATGACTTTCTCCTAGAACAATCTGACTTACTCTAATCTTCATCATTCATTATTTTGTCACATCCACTACTGAGAATCTGAGGACAATGTAAATGCCACTTCCCATCTCTTTAAGATTATAAGTACACACAAAAGCTTCCCTAAAATCCCAGTAAGTTCATGTCGCTTCACCAAAACCAAGTTAAGAATCTTGGCTCCCTAGGAACTATGGTTACCTGCCCAGAGCACTCCAGTTAGCAGCCTGGCCAGTGGGGCCAAGGTCGTGACTTTGTATTCAGCAATTGCCAAAGTCCTTGGTTAGGTCGCCACAGACCACACCTCCTCTTCGGGAATGCTGAGAAATGCTCCCTCCACGTGAAGATGGCATGCACACTTCTGTGTCTAAAAATTATCACTTTAATTCCAAGTACACCTCCATGTCTTCCAGGAAGTCTTTAAGGGAGCATGCTGATTCTTGGTGTGGTGCCAGTTAAAAGTGTAAAACTGCTGTGGGCTATTGCTAAGGTGGGTGAAAGGTGGTCGTTAGCTGTTAGTGGCTAAAAACAATTTTGACTTAAATGTTGGGCTACAAAAGTAAGAGGTCAGAAGTATCAGAGAATGTGAATTAGACTGATTTCCTGATTAGGAAAAATAACCAACCAATACTGTACCTAAAAGTTTTTAGGCAGAACAAGAAGCGTCCTATAGATTCTCATGTTCTTTATAGTTTACCTTTTATGTGGACGGGGACAGAGTAGAAAGCTGTGGATGTCAGCATCACCTGCCTGAATCGCTTTTTCAAATCCACTTTGCTGATTTCCCTGAGGAAGGAGCAACTGTTAAAATTTTCACAAGTGCTTTTGAGGATTTCCAGTGTTTTGATTTTGGCTGGAGAGTTTTTTAAAAGTAGAAGAACTGAAAATATTATAATGTTTCTTTTTTTTGATGGGTGATACTTTACTCTTATGAGAAGTGAAAGCATATTGGCTTTCCAGACATATGCAACAAAGAACATGTCCCAAGGGAGATGGGCACTTTGAGGTGTTCCAGGACTGAATTCCTCAAGGGAATCTATGAAAGGAAGCTGGATTTCTCTTCCCTTCATCCTGCAGTTAAACAATGCGCAGACATAAGTCCTGGGTATATAGAAGATTCAGTTAAGAGGAAACCGGTTAAGCAAAATCTTCTCCTAACAAAGAAATAGTTGTTTACAGGAAGAAAGAGACTTTTTAACAATCTGTCTACATAATTAAAACTTGTTCCAGAAGAGAAAGGATAGAAGAAAACTCGTAAATCAGAATGGAGCCACAGACCTGTGAGAACAGTGGCTGTATGAGCCAGAATACTCCTTGGGGGTTGGTGGAGGAAAATTATTACCTTTGCTGTGGAGAAAAGATTAAGGATTTGCCCTGTCTTTCTGTGAGAGATGCTGGTATCCCCTGACATATCCTCCTGGGTGAGAAAGCAGGAGAAAAGCCATAATTGTTATTATGGCAGATGTGAGTGGGATTGAGTGATTAAAGCCACAAGGCAGAAAGGCAATCTGGTGTAAAACGTAGAGATACTTTTGATTTTCTCCCATTTCAGCCCATTAACCCAAAGTTGGCTTGGGAAACGGCTCTCATTAAACAAAGGTGAGGCAGTAGGAGCAGCCGGATTGCTTTAAGCAAACCTGGAGGTCAGCTGTGATGGGAAAACACACCTCTCTGGAGATCATATGTCTACCTCCAAGCCTGCAGAAAAGTGCAGACTACTGGAGACTGAAATTACTTGGTATAATGCTCTTTCATGTACAAGCATTATACAACACTTCTACGCCAAAGGCTTCCTGTATTTTGTACAGGCCCTTCCTCTTCCCACTCATGGACACAGAACCTTGAACCTAAGCAGCACTTCATAACTTGCTGTACTGAACTTGGAGCTCTAATGGCATAATACTGATAACCAATGAGCAAATTTTATAATTGTAGTTGTAAAGCAGTAGTCCTGACCTCCAAATGGAGAAGTAGGGAATGCTAAAATACTGAAAGCGAGGGCCCACACTTCTTTGTTAAAAATGCATTTATTTTCCTTTCATAGCTTATTAATTTACTGTGCAAAATTATGAAAAGAAATATAAAGATAATTGCTTCATTATCTTTTTTTCCAACACTTTAAAGCACTTTATGTATTCGTTTAAATAGCCATGGTTACCAATAGAAGTTTCTGGGAATTTATGTGTAGTGATAAATTACTAGCTAGGAGCAATAAACATAAAAGGAAATCAGCAGTTGCTTAGCTTGGCAGAAGTTTATCACTGTGCATGGTGGGATTTGGAGGAAGGTTGGTTTGGACCAAGCAAGGCAGGCAGTCAGGTAGAAGCCAGCCAGAGTGTGCCCGGCCATGAGGCTCCACTCTTCGTGTTCAGGTGGACTTGGCCGTCAGGGACTCTCGCTCTCTCACAGCAGCTGCATCCTTCCCATCCTCTGATGAACTTGAGACCATCAGTGATGAAGTCTAATAGCTCACCACAGCTTTCAGCCTCCCCAGTGCTGGGAATACAGGCACGCGCCATCACATCAGGACTCTGGCCAGCTCAACTTGTCCTGGGGGCAGGACTGGTGTGGCGTGTGGTGCCAGGGGTCAAACCATGGTCCCTTGGCTTGCCTAAGCTTGCCAAAGCAGGTGCTTTAGTCTACTGAGCTATCTTGCTAGCCCCATATTCTCAGTTCCATTGATTTCCTGTTTATATCACTTCCCTAATTTTGAGCTGACGTGTAATTCCTTAAGTATTTTGAACAATATCGTTCACCTAAAGACCCATGACAAAACCTTCCTGTATATGACATTTCTCTTCCCTTCCTTCTTCCTTGTCTTAGTGACTTTCTTTGTTACTGAGACAATACCTGCCACCACAAAGTAAAAGATGAGAGGGTGATTTTAACTTATGATTGCAGTCTCCAATAAGATAGACCCAAGGCAGGGATGACACGGTGGAAGAAAGCTACTTAGGTTATGGAAGTCAGGAAGCAGAGAGAAAAAAGGGAAAACCTGGGAACAAGAATATATTCTTTCAGAACACATCTCCATAAGCCAGTCCCAGCAGCTCCCACCTTCTGTTTCCTAACAGCACAGTCAGCTTCAGCTACTGAGCTCATGAGGGGATGAATCCATGGATGAGTACAACGCCCATGACCCAACCACCTTCCCAAAGTCTGACTTAAGCATGAGGCTTTGGGGACAGTCGAGAACTAAACCTTAATGTTCTTTCTTCTTCTTTTCCTTTATCTTTCTCTCTATTCTTTCTTCCATTTTTCCTACTCTTTTTCTTCATTATTGTGTGGTTGTTTCACTATAGAGAAGTTTTAAATAGATTTTTACCATTCTCTGGTCTTTTTATCATCTAGGTTTTGAAAGAGAATATACAAAATACTCAAATTCACAATGCTGTGGAGAGCTTAACAGTTGGATATTTGCAAAGACATCCTCAGCATTTTGAGAAGCCAACCAAAAAGACAAGTTCCCAAGGGTAAGCAACAGAAACAAGTCCTAGCTGGGGAGAATTTTTTTTTTTAACAAAGTACTTTTCCTGGAATTTGGGGAGGGCAGCAGAAAGGTATGGGGTGGCCAGCAGCAACTGTAGTCCTCAAAGAGAAGAGGGCGGACACTACAGGGATCCAGGAAGGGAATCCTGTGTCCTTCTGTCCCTAGCTTTCTTGCCAGTGAGTTAAGTCCAATGTTATGGTTGGTACATTGAGTCACCTAGAGAAGTTAGGCTAAGTGACTCAGCATGGGGAAGGATTCTCACTTTTAAACATCCATGTACTATACAAAAGGAGGGCTGGGAGTCAGTGTGAGTGCTACACCCACCCTGGGTGGGGTAACCTTACAAGGAAGGAGAAGAGGCTCCCTCTTCCCCCTTTTTGCTCTTGTTGCTTTAGCTGTCCTCTGCCACCTTGAACTTACCACCCTGCCTTGGAGCAAGCTGATTACAGACTGAAACCTCCACAAACTGTGAGCTAAATGACCTTTCCTTCCTTAATTTTGGGTATTGGGTATTTTGTCTCAGCAAAGAGAGAAAAGTAACTAAGATAGCCAAGT